CGCCCACAGAGGGAAGAAATCCTCCGTGGGACAATTTTCATGGCTGGCTGACATCGGACGAGGTCTTATACTGGGTGACTGGCAAGCCAGGCTCAGGCAAGTCGACTTTGATGAAGTTTCTGTCTGATGACGCCCGCCTCCGACCCCAGCTGGAAGGCTGGCAGAAGGACATCCCCGTTCACATTGCCAGCTTCTTCTTCTGGAACTCGGGAACAATGATGCAAATGTCTCGAGAAGGACTTCTACAGTCTCTCCTTCATCAGACTATTCGAAACTTTTCCCAAGATATTCCTAGGCTCTTCCCAGAGAGATGGGAGTACCAGGAGCTGTTCGGTTACGACTCCCGCCCTTGGTCGTGGTCCGAGCTCTCTCAAGCATTCACTGAGATGCTGTCTGACAAGACCAAGGCATTCTTCTTCATTGTAGACGGACTCGATGAGCTAGACGGAGACTGCAGTGAGATGACAAGCTACTTGTTGCGCGTGTTCTCCCAAGGACCGCACATCAAAGGGTGTGTGTCTAGCCGGCCGTGGCTGGTTTTTGAGGATAGCTTCCGGCGCAAGCCATCCCTTAGAATGGAAGATTTCACAAAAAAGGACATTATATTGTTCGCAATAGAGAAGCTTACCGAGAATCCCATGTTTGCCCAACTTCAACGGTTAGACAACAAGAGCGCTGGGGCCTTGATTGACGAAGTCTCGAGGAAAGCCTCTGGTGTCTTCTTGTGGGTTACGTTGGTGGTAAAGTCTCTTTTGGAAGGACTGCGAGATGGCGATAAAATCCAGGACCTGCGATCACGACTAGAGGACCTTCCGCCCGATCTTCAGTCGCTATTTAGAAAGCTCTTGGAGGACCTGGAGCCTTCATATTTTCAGCAATCATCAAGAGTTTTCCAAGTGGTTCGAGCATCCCATCTGCCAAGGGCTTCGATAGCTGTGGGAGAGTACAAGTCGATCGAGGTCAAAGGGGACACTCACGAGGCGTGGTCGTCTTTGAGACTGCTCTCCCTTTCTTTTATCGACGAAGACCCCGAGGAGGCGCTGCTGAATGACAGTCAGGGAACAATGGGCAGCGATGAACAGGGATATCGAGCCGAAGGAATGCGGCGACAGCTACAAAGCCGCTGCAAGGGGCTCCTCGAGGTACCGACCTTCAGCACCACAGGGCCCGAGTCAAAGGTCGAATATCTGCACCGCACAGTCAAAGACTTCCTTGAAGAGGGAGGCGGGGGCGACTTCCTGACAACAGAGGATTCCTTTGACCCGCACGTGGTTCTCTGCGCAGCTCTCATCCGGCACGCCAGGGCTATTCGTCCGACTGAAGACGACATGACAGGGATGGAATCTCTCGCAGACATTTTACGCGAGTTCACCACCCAGTGTCATTGGCTAGAGAGACAAAACCGAGACGTTTACGTTCCGTATCTAGAAGAGATGAACAAGATTGCTGAGGCTCTCTTGGGCGGCCCTGGCGGCGATAAACCTCCGCCGGACTCTTCGCAGACATACTGGGTTTTCTCTTTTCCCCATTGGACCAGACGGGTAGACCCCTACGTTGGGCGTAAAGCCGCCCGAGTCTGGTGTCTCTTTGACTATGCTGTGGTTCGGTCTCTGACCCAATATGTTAGGCGACAGCTGTCTACAGGCTACAGCCTTAAGGACAATCCGAATCACAAGTTCTTGACGGAGTATGTGTTAGAACATGGAACTCAGGCTATGGCTGAGCTGCTGGACTTGGGCATCATTACATCCAAGGAGATCAAGGGCAAATCGAGCGGCAACGAAAAGGACGTAGAGATAGAGAAAGCTGAAGGCTCGACACGCGAAATGGGATCGGAAAAGACGGTGGCGCGAAATCCTACTACAAAGAGGGAAAAGGATTGGTCCACATCTCGATTCAGGCATAGCATTCACCAGATCTCTCAGAGATTCAGCCTTCGTAGGAAGAAGTAAGGATTTGAATTCAGCGGCAACATCATATCAGCTGAGGATGTGGAAGTGAAATCTGACAGAAATTACTGCGGCCTCAGCTCAAAGCCACTGATGGGGTCCCAACGATTGGAGGCCCTCTCCGGATACCTACCTGTATGTTCTTGGAAAACGACGCCCTGAATTCAATTGATACCTTGAGTGAAGTATGACAGGTACATCAAAGTCCAAGTATACAGCGGGACTGAATAGCATGTAGGGGAAGAGCTCATCCTTGTCTAGTCTAGTTTCGGGTTCCATCCCTCCTTCATTCCCCAAGAAGCTTCTCTTCGTCCGATACTCGGCTGAGTTTCGATCTTTAATGAAGCTTGGATGCGTGTTCTTATCGTAGCAAATTGTGACACCTCATGCGTGTGGGGAGCCACGTGTATCAAGGTTGAGATAGCCTAGAACACGCTTGACTGGTTCAAGAAGTCTTTCTCCAGTGTGCTGAATACAAACTCAATTCCCATGATGCGGGTCGTTCCCCTGTCAGCCCACATCAAACCGCCCCGAGCACAGTTCTAATACTTCCGCCCATCTATGACATACCGCTCTCTCACGAACTGTGTCTCGATGGCATTTACTCAAAAGAGGGTGCTGGGACAAATAGCCGTTCGTCCCAGGTACCTAAACCATGCCAATGCCTTTCGCCCGGGTAGGCAGACAGCAGACGGCCAGTGCCACCTCGCAGTGAATGGTCCCTCGAGATGACATCGCTCTAACATGATTGTCTGGGGAACAAGCCATTGAGTAACAATGCCCTTCCGAAATTCTGCGCAAGACAGCCGTTAGGATGACTGTCGCAAAAGGGATGGGTTCCGTCACCAATGCCCAGGGATCGTGAGCCTGCCATCGCATTCTTGGTCACCATTTCCTCCACCCTGTCGTTCCTTTGCAGTAATGTGGGCTTGTCTTGCCTCCCCTGGACAAAAAAACGGCGTTTGCTGGTTCGCGGGCATGGCCGACTTTGACTCAGATCTCGTGTCTCAACCTTGCGTGAGGTCTCATTACCTTTGGAAAACTTAGCTATCCCTAGCTCGTCTTATGATCTACGCGCCACCGCATTGTTTCCCACTTTGTGACATTTTCATCCCTGTTTGGCTCCTTGGCTCGGGCCGAGGGTTGTATCCGAAGTTGTTCGAATGATGGCTTCACTTGCCCGACCTGTAAGTAAGTACGAAATCGTATTAATGGTTGATATCCCTGAGAATCAGGCTAATGCTCAGCTAGTCAATACTCGGGTTTCTGTCAGAATTTTATCCTTCTCGCCGTTGTCACAATGACCTCTAGCTTCGGTCTTCGTGTCCCAAGACCACTGCTCTGGGTGCAGTTTCTGCTGCCGCTTCTCCTCGGCCCGAATTTGACACTGGCACAAACCAGCAGTCAGCAGGCTTACGCCCTACCCGGAGCGATTGCAATAGGGTGTACCAACATCTATGTATTCAGCACAACGACAGAGCTTGTTCTGACAGATGCGGCTTTGACGCCGGCTGCTTGCCAGCAGGCTTGTTACGTGGACGCGACCCCGAGCCGCTTGTACGCCATTCTGTTCGCTGATGATTGCTACTGCGATACCCAAAATTCCCTAAATGGCTTCCCGACAGATGAATCGAACTGCTATATTGATTGCTCGGGAGGTCCAGCGGGAGCTTTCTGCGGTGGATATCCGGAAGACCCAACAGTCGTGATAGCCAACGTGTACTACCGCGGCGACTATCCTCTTATTTCAACAACTTCATTCACAGACACGACCTCTTCTACATCCTCATCAACTCTTGGGGTCAGCACAGATGACGCATTCTCCACTGTCACAGTATCAAGTTCAATTGACGAGCCGAGTTCGATGTCCGAGACGGCAACCAACATTGAATTGAGCCCCGATAAAACATCTAGCTCCGACACAGTAACCAGCACGGCCTTCAGCTCTGATACGACATCTAGCTCCAGCACACCGTCAAGCTCAACAGATGAGTCCTCTACTTCTCTGGATGCCATCTCTAGCTCGAGTACCGACTTGACCGAAAGTTCGAGTGCTGCTGCGAGCTCTGATACCTCAAGCTCCGACCTCATATCCAGCACATCTGTCACTCCTAGCAGCAGCAATACAGCTGATGAACTTTCGTCCACATCAAGCCCTGTAGAGACTGGTGTTTCCAGTACGAGCATCACTGTATCGTCAAGGGACGATGTCACCAGTTCCAGCAGTACAGTAACTGAGAGTGCCACCAGCTCTTCTGATGGTGATATTGAGAGCAGCAGCGGTATCATTTCAGCGTCACCAACCAGCGTGTCGTCGACTGTTACATCCACAACGCCTATGCCGGAGTCAGAGACAACAAGCAGCCCCACTACCAACAGTGAAGCTGGCAGCACACAGTCTGGCAATGATGATATCGTATCATCGTCCTCGGATCCTCTGTTTTCGACCTCCACTGCAATTGCCGGTAGCTCTACTGAGCCCCTGATTTCATCAACACGGTCTGATGACACCGATTCCGCAACACCCACAACATCCACTGGGGCTGCAACAACTTTCAGCCCTTCCTCTAGTACGACTCCGGAAGCATCATCCGATCCAGATTCTTCTAGCACTCGCAGCGGTGCACCGGATTTCACACCTAGTTCCGCGCCCTCGACCACGGCTAGCACTCAGGATCCCGGCCCGTCTCTCTCTCAGCAATTCCCAACTCCTGACCCAAGCAGCACCCGCAGCACGTTTTCTCCGCCGTTCCCTTTCACAAACTCGTCGATCGGGTTGCCTTCAACCACACAAGAGGAACCAAGTCAAACACCAGAAACGTTGGACCTGGACATCGAGGTCACGCCAAGCCCCGAAACCTCGCAACCTGACGCAGGCTCGATCAGCATCCAAACACCGCCAGCCGTTTCCGACAGTCAAATCACACCAGGGGTTTCAAACACCCAAGGCACATCCATCGCGTCAAATAGCCAATCCACTCCAGTCGTGCCAGATAGCCAAATCACGCCAGTCGTGTCGAGTACCCAAACGTCAGCAGGTGTCCCGGGCATTCAGAGCACGCCTGGCTCGTCAAGCATTAGTGGTATCTCGGCCACTGCAAGCACAGACGCCGCATCTGCTTCAAGTTTACCGAACAGCGATGCTCTCGACGCTTCTTTCATTAGTCCTATAACCCCGAGCTCAATTGCTTCGGAATCTGCAGTCGCATCATCACCCTCGGCTCCAAACAGCGGCTTTGCAACCAGTTCGTTTACATCGTCGGAGCCTGCTTCAAGCTTGCTGAACACTGATACACTTGGAGCGTCATTCATCAGTCCGACAGGCATGGAGCAAACCCTTTCGATCTCTGTAGGCGCATCATCTGTCCAAAACGGTGGCCCTGCAGAAAGTTTGTCGATATCATTGGCGCCTGACTCAAGTTTACTTAATAGCGATGCTCTCGGGGCGTCTTTCATCAGCCCGGCTGCCCCGAGCTCGACTCTTTCCATATCTCCAGGCGCACTATTGCCCTCTGTCCAAAACAGCGACTCGGCAACAAGTTCGTCAACGTTGTTGACGCCTGCCCTAGTCCCTTCAACGTTGAGTACTGTGCCAATCTTGCCCTCAACATCTAACGTCGAGTCTGCATCTTTGAATGACAACTTGGCAACGGCAACATCAACCACATCATCAGTAGCGAACACGACACTTCCTACTGCGGACGGCGGCGACGGCATCGGTGATGATATCGAAGACCCGGAGCTTGACATCTACCTCAACTATCCGTTCTATTTCACAATCATCCCCTTAGAAGCGCCTGCTGCGACTGAATTGCCTCGAAAAGGCTAGTTGAAGGGCAAAGTTTGTTCTTAGTGTGCCTATGTAATTACGAATCGAATCAAATGACCCGTTCTTCAAATGTCCCTTTCTATCCGCCATGATGACCAGTACCCATTGAACACCTGAAAACACCCGTTGTCGTCCCTTTGTCGAAGGTAAGCATGAAGAACCTCCCTAGCAATCACTGAGGGTGCTTTGTAGTGAACTCAGCAAGCTTGTCGCGCAGGTTCTGGTTCTCCACCTGCAACTTGTTGATGGCCTCCATGAAAGCAGCGCACTGCAACTTCATTTTGTCCAGTTCATTGCGCAGAACATCCTGCTGCTCCTCCGAGGCAGCCAGCTGCGCATGGTGCATCTCTTGCAGTTCTTGGGTTGCCTTTCGCAGGGAGGCGTCTGCGACCGCTGCGGTCTCCACATCATTGATAGCGTCCTCACCCTGCCTTATGTTAGAGACTATAACATAAAAAGTGCCAGAAGACTTACCTGATGGAGGAAGGCAACCACCATAGGATCAGGAACATCATTCCAAGATTTGAAGCCTGCGTAATAGGCATCTCGGTCCTCCTTCTCCTTTCGCGCCTTTGCGGCCTTGAGGTCCACAGTCGGCACGGCAAACTCGAGGCCAGGGAAGACGTATGGCGTATCTCCCTTCACGATGGTGTAGATCTGTCAGGCATGTTGTCAGCTCAAGTGGAACAAAAGACCAAGCTCATACTCACATTAGCAACCACAACTCCAGGCTCCTTGATGTCGGCCATGTTGAAGGTGCTAGTGTGCATGAGAAAGAAAGATAAAGGTTGGTATGATGGTTGTTGTGAATCTGCGTTTGTTGTTGTTGTTGGATTGAGGAAGGGTTGCTGATCAGCTTGGTTTGGAGGAAACGTGCAGTTGAGAGGACGAAAAGCGCGCCTTTTAAGCTTTCAAGGTTGTTTCTCGGCAGGTCCAGGTGAGGAAGGAACTGTTCAACAAAGATCGGGGTTCTTTCTTTCCTGTTGTTAGTCATTTGTTTTCAACACATACAATTGCTTTGTTTGTTTCTCGGACTCTCTGTGTTTTGATGTTTTTAGAACAATCTTGGCAGGGACAATCAACTTGAGTGTCGGTTAGTGCCTTCCCTATCGTGAGATTTACACAATTGCGAGCTGGCTGAGTTGGATACCTTATGTTGGTTCTTCTGATAGATGGCCCCTCATGGCCATCTCGCGAGCTGCTCCTGCCCTCTGAAGAGTTCCGTTCCTTCCTCTGCCTACTTTTTCAGAAACCTCTGATCTCTTACCAAATAGTAGATTACGTCATAGCCACCTCGGCTCAAGCGTATTGCACTTGTATCCTCAGATTTATTTCTCACATGTACATCCGACGTTTTTGGCCAGGCTCTTGCCTCACTCACCACATCTACTCGTCAACGCATCGCCACACCGCCCGCCTCTTTACTTCTCATTCTTTTTCTTCATCAAAGGCTTCTTCCTACCTTCGAATGCTCTCTAATCTCATTAATATTACTCACTTCAGCGTTCAAGTGTGGAGGTTTGTGAGAACTGCTCCTTCTAATTTCGGTTGTCTCTTTCCCAAACCCCGTCCCCGTCAACTCCTTTGGTTCACCTGCCGCACCGATCCAGAGGTGTGCGCTTCTTATTTCTCGACAGCCCCTTCATTTCGTTTTGCCCTGATTTCGTTTGACCTTGTGGGTTGTGCGTCTCTGGGTCGCTACTCTCTGGATCTTGCCCTGGCCTACAAGTAGCCTCCCTCTCACTCTCGACAACCCCTCCCACCGACCTACCCAAACACCATTCCCACAACTCCTTGTCAATATCCTCTCTTAACCCTTTTCTTGCTCCCAACTCTTTTCCCTCTTCTTCAACTGCCATATTCTGCTTGGAGCCTTTCAATCTTCACACCTACCATCCGCCTCCCTAGCCAGTCTCATCCCATCGCCGCCATCGCCTGAGCTTGTCCAAGATCCTTCATCTTTTCGCCGCTCACGAACTTTCAGTCGCGGGTTTAATTCTGACGTCAACTTTTCTGGATTGTGTTGGTAAGTCCCAGTTCAACCTCACTCTCACGATTCATCATTGACACAAGTTCCTTCAGGTCCCTCCCTCGTCCCCGGTCCGACGCGACTGTCGCTGCTGACAACGCCTTTTCACGCAAAATTACCTACCATGACGGCTTCTAATTTGCGAGTCCCGACGGTAAGCACCACAATCATTTCATTGTGTCCCAGCATTTGTCCTTCCGTGTTTCCCCCACCTGCCCATCTTGCCCGCTGGACCCTAAGGACCTTGAGATTGTCGAGAGCTCGGATATGGAAGTGCAGATTGGCGCGAGCCGGTTGCCATGGGTCATTTGGACAGACCGAGGGGCAACCACTCTCTCGCTGCAGCCGAGTACTGCTTTTGGAAATGAGCGGCATTTTGGTCTCAAACTCCTCTGGACGTCTTTCCCTCTCACTGTCGGCGCGAAGCGATCAAATCGCATAACCCAGTCAGCCACACACGAAGACGTTCAGGGGCGGTCCAGTGGGTTCATGCAATGACGTCGAGCCCTGCGAAGGCCGCGGGGGGAATCGGGCTCGCCGGGCATCCTTCACTCTCGTTTCCGGCTCTGCTCGTGTCCGATGCGTCGCGTGCGGGTAACCGGTAACACTCGCGGCGTCATCAGCAGCCTGCAGTTTAAAGCTAATTCTGCCGTGAGGCAGCCGCCCAGAGAAAGACTCGGCATTCTTCCTAGCAAGTTGGGTGTCGGGCAGTCCTACCTCGCCAGTAGGATGTTCCTGCGGTGCGCGACGGTCTGCAGCCTCTTTGTTGAGCCGCATAGCGAAGATGCAGGCTCCGAAATGGGGAACACAACAGGGGGTGACGAGTGTGGCTTACCAGTAGGGTCTTGACTCCTTTGCTGACTGGGTGAAGAAACAGGTTCATTTCTCGCCATGAGGGCCGCTCTTGACATGGCTGGCCCTCGACTACTGTTTGATGCATCGAGGCGCAGCAAGAGAGACGCAAGAAGAGCTCATTGGTACACTACGAATGGGGGCATGGAAAGTTTGCTGTGGGTGGATGGCTTGGGGAAGGCTTTGCAATATGAGATCTCTGCTGGTTGCGGTACTTATCATAGGTAATTATTCGGAATGTTGAAAACATCTTCTCTTTGTCGAGATGGCCACAAAGGCGTACGGAAAGTGTGATTTCGTGGAGCATTATATTGGATTACAATCATGAAGACTCCTTGATTGAGGATATCGACCCCTTCCATCGTCGCCCTCCTCTAAACATGTGCTCTGCCATTCCCAATCTGATGCCATCCCTGTGAAATCTGCGTCGCCTCACGCGCTGCACTTAATGCGAATTCCCTCCGCAGACTGCCCTTTCCTCGATTAACACGTCCTAGATGTAGGCTCAGAGCGAGATCTCTGGTTCAGTGTTGAGTTTGCAAGTGTGTCGGGAGAAAGACTGCATCGTTGTCGCGACTCGATGTACAAAGAGGCTGTTTGGTCTTGAGTGTCTTGCTGCTGGATTGTGCCAGCTTTGACTTTTTGTGCTCGAAGGCCTCGCCAGGAATTTGATAATGTTTTGCTCAGATGTGTGGATATTGTGTGTGTTGGTGACATTGTTCTTCTGCTGATGGGGTTTGTGAGTGATGTGGGCACGCTTGTGAGGTCGCAGTCAAAGGCTCAAACCTTGCCGATATATGGTATGTGGGCATGGTTGAGGAAAGCTTTATTGCAGGCAGCTACTCCCAAATCCTGAGAAAACATACATGCCATGGGTGTTCGTAGCCTGAGCATAGTCTGGGAGCAAATTCATCAATGCCCCGGAACTCGCCATAAGCGGCTAAGTTACCCGCGGGTATCGCGTAGCAGCTTTGCCCAACTTGGACAGTGACAGCGAGGAATCCCGCGCGTCCGTGTGCACTCAGCATGGACTGCAGTTGTACTGAGCATCAGCTTTAGATTTTTTGCATAGCGAGCTGTAGCTGATTCGGATTTGGCGAATCTTTGCGCTGGCCTCGCCATAGGTACTCACATGGCGGCTCGTAGCAGTTCATCTCCACCCCTGGAAGCCATGGGACGCTCAGTCGCAGCATAAAAATCTTCTGAGCACCTTCAAGATGTTGCAAGATTTAATAGACAATGTACGCCAAGCGGTCATGGTCATTTGAACAGATATAGTTTCAACTAGTTTATTATGTAGTTCACGCACGCTGTCTCTTCACCCCGAATTGACTTGCAGAGCCGATAGAAACACGTGATCTTATGGGCCGCTTCTCTATCATGATGACATTTCTGGAGTAGATTATGAGACCTTGAACATGACGTTGGGAGTTGAATCCTCAATATCATCTCACGTCATTGCCTCGCTGACAAACTGCTGTCCGTCTCCGACCTTTACTTGCCCTCCACATTTCTCTCCAGTTTCCTCGTCCTGTCCCTCGCTGAACGATAAGCCGTCCATCACAGTCAACCCAATCTCGTGGTACGTTGGCGGCGAGAAAAGCCTTCGGCCCTCGGAGAACCATGCCACTGTCATAGCAATACCAAAGACTCCCATTATCAAGCTCGTGTAATTCATGGTCAATGTCGTAACTGGCTGTACCTGGGGGATCTACAGATATTTCAGTCAGCCGAGCCAAAAATGATTGCAAAGGTCTGTTAGGCTTACCAATGCAACTACGACAACTAGAACTGAGTATAAGCATGAAATGACGTAGATAGGCGTTGAAAGTCGGCCGAAGTTCCAGTTCTTGCTTTCTGGCAGGGTCGAATTCTTCTTCAGCAGCATGATGAGCGCTGGGCATCCTGTTCCTCGTAAGCGTTGATTTCCACACGGTTGGTGGTCACTCATACCGAAACTGATGATCATGCACACCGCTTGCGAACCAATAATTGCGTTGAAGGCGGCATTCGAAAATAAGTAACTATGCCATAGCATTAGAATTTAACTCTTCATAACTGCTCACGACTTACATCAAACCAATTAGAGCGACCAGGGCTGAGGGCACGTTGATGGACCAAACCGGAAGCTGAGTTCGGGGCGAAAGTTCAGTAAGTCTGTGGATCGGTCAATTTGAGTCGCAATATTCTTGTATCGTCCAGGTAGCATCATCTGGGTAGCAAGTTGACTGACTTGTAGTTCCGAAACAGTCCTCCATCTCGAGCAAAAGCGTATCCTTGCCGGCTCATGGTCACGGCGCTTCCCAGGGCAGAAGCGCCCTGGTTGATGATAAGGATGATGCAAAACACAATCGCTGCAGCATCGCTTCCGGTACCGAGTCTGATTAGCTCGAGGATCGGAACTCTGAGTTGCATGTTAGTTGGAGAAGCTGTTCTGACCGCATTGTGGACTTACCCAGTGGGGCTTGCGATGATGGTGGGTAGGTCGCTGATGGAGAAGCCCAGGACAAGAATCCAAACAACTCCAACGAAAAATTGTGAGATGATGACAATCAGGAGAATCCTGGGGATGACCTTTTTGGGATTCTTGACTTCTTCGGCCAGGTGCGTGGGGCAGTCGAGACCCATCAGCGTGGAGAAACTGTTGAACAATCCTAACAGGATAGCAAAGCCCGTGGAGGAATAGCTATTCATCGTCAATTCCTGGAGCTTTTCAATATCATGTGTCACTTTTGTGAATTGAGACTCACCCTGTGTCATTATTCGTCTGAACGAACACAGAATGCGGCGTGGCTTTGGGGGCTTTGACGAGCAGGGCAATTGTGTATGCCACAAACACGAACACTGTAGCCCAACCTGTGTCCTTTGTCAGCACACTTGGGTTTCTTCCAGTTCATGATTGCGACCTTGTCAGAGCGACATACATCCTACCAGCTCGAGTGTGGGAATTCCCCTAAGCCCGAATAGGTTGATCAACCAACATCCGAACACCATTGCGAGATATACCAAGAATAGCTGCCATCTGGTAGACACGTCGAACTCGGGCTGGCATAGGTTGACCAGTGCCAGGGTCAATGTCGCGACGATGGCGCAGCAAGCAGCATGCGTCAAGACCCAGCCACAGTAGTTCAGCCATCCGAGAGGATAGGCACATTGACGGCGGTATCTTTCGGGGATCAAAAAGGTTGCATAGTGGTAGGCGCCCCCTTTGATGATATTAGTGTCATTTCCTTGTCGGCCAGAAGTGAACAGAAGAACTTTACCTGCGGTAGAGTACCGAGCGGCGCACTGGGCGAAGGTAAGTATAATACATAGTACGCAGATGCTGGAACCGATACTAGTTCCCAATTAGTCCATTTGTTCTTCTAGAAAGAAAATACTGTAATGAACTTACAAGCCGTAAAGAATAGCTGGAATACCTCCCGCTGAAAGCCCAACGAAGAGGATGAAGGACATGCCACCAAAGACGTTCAGAGTCAGCCATCCTATGCTGATCCCACTCCACAACCCAAAGGTATGAGGAAGATGGTCGCTTGAGCTTTCAACTTGCGACATTTTGGCTGTTTAGAGTTGTTGCAAGGACGTTTAACGGCTGTCTGTAATACTTCCTTTACAGGTTTCAATCACACATTTGATCATCAACAGGATTTCAAACGTCGGCGAGCATGTCTATTTGACGCTCTATAAAATTTACTCAAAAGCATCCTATCAACTCAATACTCAACTGTTGCTTCAAGGCCTGTGTGGATCATTGCGGGATGCGACATGTGAAGCCAGTCGTGATGGACATTCAAGTTGGCAATCTTGTTTGTTGTACTCTGCGATAGGGACGTTTTCTCGTTGGGATAGCACTAATTTTACTGGAACGGGATTAGGGCGTCACCGGCGTCAACTCTGCGAAAGCTAGTCCCGATCAGGTTTCAGTTGGCTATCAGCAGCATCCATGGATGCTGCATGCTTATCTCGTTAGTATTATCTGCGCTAGGGGAATCCATGTGTGGCCGTTCAGTGCTAAAAGGCTTTGCAGCCGTTCTGATTGGCTGCGTATTATGACACTTCCTGGGGCAAAGCCTCTCAACGGCCAATGTCATGTGGAACATTGAAGATTACGAAGTGCCCTTATTATCTGTTGGCCAGATAATTACACCCCGGATGAGTTCAAGCAACCTAGTTTGTGACAAGATCGCGGGGTTGATAAGCATCCCTGTATCCGTTCTCAGCGGGCACGGTAGCCCTAGGGTGCCGTCATGGAGCTGACGCTGCGCCAAGTGTACCCGTATTGGATATTGTCTTATCCGGCTCTGGGAAACGGCTTCATTGCCGTTCTGGATGCCAACTCCAAACATACAGTTTGCATTCTTCTACACAAAGCTACAGAATCAAGCCGAGCCGCCGTGAGCCCAGATCCCACTCAATCGCCCCCTTACCAGCCATGAACACCAGAAGATCCAGGAGCGGTTCGCCTTACCTATCAGTCGCTCTTTATCCAATCCTACTAACCTTGAACCAAGGCTGCTGGACCTGCCGAAAGAGGCATCAAAAATGCGATGAAGGGAAACCGGGGTGTTTCAACTGTCGCCTGAGAGGCGTAGAATGTGGTGGGTATGGGGTCAAACTAGAGGACTTCACCTCGCGCGGCGGGCCTCACGGAAATATGCAGATGGTGTCAAAGATAGTGAGAGGAGCACCAAACGAATCTCGTCCAACGCAAGGCCGCAGTCGCAAACAACCCTATGAGTCGCAACAGGCGGCAAGTGGGCCAAAGCCGCAGAATGCCACTCAACCGCAGAAGAACATCCCGGCTATCGAGCCCAGTGTCAAAGCCTCTGCTGTGGTTTGTGCTTCCCCGCCATCAGCCAGCGTTTGCGACTCACTCACAACCCTATCCAACGCTGATGGCCAAGAAACACTGCGCAAGGAGCAATCAGAAGAACAGAATCACTTGGGGCGGTCCTCGGATGACGACGCCAGCATAGACCCATCGTCTGCTACATCTTCCAACCAGTCTACCGAGCACGCAGATACCCCAACAGGGGGCAAAGATAAGTGTGTGATGGACAGGTGGTGGGAAGTATATTCTGATGCAAATTTGGCCGGGATGTCAAGTCCCGAAGATATCGAGGCAGGTTCGGCACTCTGGACCACTTTCGACGAGTCAATGTTCTCAACCATGCCGTGGGACTGTTTCCAGACAGCCGCCCTGGCACAGCCCACACAGAGAACAGGTACAGATGGCGATGGTATAGCAAATGAAATCGGAAAGCGAGCACGCGATGGCAAAATCGTGGACAGAGATCAGAGGCCTGTGCGCTCGACAAGTCCACCACTTGCCATCTTTCGGTCGAGTCAGCCTTCGGAAGTCTACCTCCTGCAACACTGTAAGATGTCCTTCAATCGCCTACTCGGTTATTTCTTTGATTCCGAAGTTGGTGCTGACGACCTCAAAGTTCTTGACAATCTTGCGTCACGACTTCTTCCGGTAGTGGAGCCCTACCGCAATCCATACAAGACCGTGTACGGGGCATTGGCGAGAGGCTCTCGACCCCTCCGTAACGCCATCCTTTTCGCATCGACCCTTCATCTTACTAAACTTGGCGATCTTCCCCACGACACGATTAAGACTTACCGAGCAGATATGAGGGACTCTTTTCGCGAGGCGCTCCAGGCAGACGAAGAGATTTGGAGCCTAGGGGCTACAGTGCTCTTGTCAATTATCTTTGACGTAAGCTATTGTTTGGGTCTCAGCATCTCGGTCACTCAACTGACAACATATCCCAGGTAATTGGAACTGGGGTGGATTCATGGAGTTCTAAGTTGGTGGGATGCCGTCGACTGCTGGAACAGGGCCTGTCAAGATCAAAAGGCCAGGTCAGCTCTGAGATGAAGTGTGTACAGATACAGTACAACTGGATGTCGACGATGGGGCGGACACTCCTCCTAGGAACCCAGCAACTCCAAATGATGGATGATCTCGCGCCCCTTGAGATACTCCCAAGTAAGAATATGATTGCCCTTGCTCCATCATCTCTTCTAACCTGTCTTCTCTAGTCCAAGAACCTCGGTTCAACACTATCCCCGATCTCATGGTCCAACAACACCACTGGTGGGCAAATATGCCAGACTACAGCATGCATATTCTGCTGCGTGAAGTCGCCGATCTCTCCATCGCTGTCCATAACATTAAGTCTCAGCCCGACAGCACTGAACAGCTTCTGCAAATGATGCCCGAGGTAGCAGATGTGGTGAGAAAGATCGAAGGTTGGCAGCCAGGTGTTGCATCGGTGACTCCAGGGTACATGGATGATACTCAGCATTTTAACAGCATCTGGAAGCAAGGCATGTTGTGCTATGTATATCATGAGATCTATGGTCTGAGCTCCAGTAGTTCCTGGATTCAAGCATGCGTGGAAGTATCTCTGGTGGCGTTTAAGAAGCTGTCCTGGCTTCAAGCATGTCTTTGGCCGGCTTTCATGATTGCGATTCATGCGCAGACGGAAACTGCGAGATCCACCTGTGAAAATGCGTTCAAGAAGATGCACTCTACGTTGGGTTTCACTGCACCACTTTCAATAGTGTTAGTGCTTCAAAGTCTCTGGGGAACCTTCGACAGCGATGGTTCCGGCACGGCCAAGTGGAGGACAGTCATGGAAAATCTGGGGATGGAACTGAATATTTTACTTTAGCAATGCTACTTTCATCGGCAATTTCTGATAACCCCATCGCTTTCGCATTGCAGTTGGGCAGGATAACTAGCCCTTAACGTAGATTTGGATGAAGGTTCCTTAAGACTAGAACATGTAGGATAGTGAAAGTCTCAGGACATCAAATTTGAATTACTCAATCTATCTCAGTTCCTGCCCAACATCCCATATTACCTCAAGCCGCGACGGTAGTCGCCAGAGGCCTGCCCTCAAAAGTACCATACTGAAATGGGTCTTCCTTGCTGCCGAGAAGTTCAATAGGATCCTTCATATCGACATGGCCACAAAACGGCTCGCTGATTGAGTATCCCAGAAGAGCCTGAACTTGGGGCTCGTATGTCTTAATGACATCGTGCTGGATGCCAACATACTGGTTCTCATCCGCACGGTACGATCCGCGGGTCATGTGGCACGAGTAGATATTTCTTCTCTCGTTCTCGAGCTGATTGGCACCAGCGCCGTGCCAGACACTGCCGATGATGAATACAGCATCACCCTTGTCCATCTCCGCGGTGGAGCAGAGGGAGCGATCAGCGGGACCCCTTTGATCGGCCTCGGGCCACTTGTGGGAACCAACGATGATCTGAGTCGCCCCGTTCTCGTAGATGCAGCGCTTCAAGATGGTTAGTGGCGTTCCCAGTGTAAAGGGGGACCTCGGGGATTCCACTTACGGTGCCGGCAACCAAGAGACCGAGCAGACTGCTTTCGCCACTGCCCTCAACGTGGTCAAAGTGTTGGGCCATGTCGTCACGGTGGAGGGGCTGAGCGGCAGATTTGCCACGAGAGAAGGCCTCCGAAACTGCTAGAACAGGGTTCGAGACGCATTCGTATCTCTTGCCGTCGCGGAATGGGCGCCTGTATGGCTCAACGTCAGCTTAAACGCAAAGTATTGAAGGCGTTATGGGAAGACTTACGAAACTTCTTGGAGCAGTTCCTTTGCGGTGTCGCGGTAGGTGGGGTGATTGATGCATTTGTGGGAGAAAGTCCTGGACTTGCCCGCAAAATTGCTACGGAAGCAAACTCAGCAATTGGATCAAAAATGGTCTGTTCAAAGATTTGATACTGCCATACCTGAGAGGAGGGTCCGAGGGGGGGAAGAGGTGACCCTCGTACTTGAGCGTCCTTAGCTTCTCGAACCAGGGAGCAGACTCTGCATCCATCTGATCGATATCCTCTGGGGTCACAAAACCCTTGATGATGATGCCGCCATCTCGCCGGATGACATTCGCAATCTCCTCAATCGGAGCAGTCGCCGGGAGGGAGGTGATCTCCGGGTTCTTGGCCTGGTGAGGAGGGTTGGGCATGTTGACAACGAGACTGATGTATGTCTAAGGTAGCAATTGATGGGTTATGATTGTGCGGCGATTAGCAAGCTGATGATGTGGAGTTTTCACAGGCCATTTCGTACAGATTGAGCCTCATTATTTATCGTTCTCTCAATCGCATAGATTCACGAAGAACTGCCATCTTCGATTTGCACGGCTATCGGTAGTCTGTCCAAAGTGCGGGCCTGGTTGGAACGCCACTGGCCTGTCGCGTGTTACGCGATTGCGCTTCCCAAAGCGGTAATGCTAGGCTAGGAACCGGGTCTTGGTTGTGATAACACCGGCCCAGACACCCCCCTGGCTCTTGAGCACCCGCACTCATCTGCAAGACTAGGTGCCTCACAAAAAACGAAAGATTGATCGGAAACATTGTAAGGCCTCGCAAGTCAGACCCATGCTTGGTATTGATAAGGCGATGTGAATCAACAGACCTAAGCGATAGCTCCGCGTTGTGTCCAGGAAACACTGGACAACTACTAGACTGGCATCAAGTTGCGAAGTATCGAAGATAACGACTTTCCGTCTTGGTCTGCCAAACAGCCCATGGTCCTACATAATTATTCGTATCACAACATCCAAATGTCCAAAACATCTCCTTGAAACTAAGCTTGCATTCTCGTCGCAATCACTACCACGTCTCACTAAGCTATTTCAAAACCAAGCCCATCTTGACAATATGGCTTCCGTTAAGCGTTTCTCCCCTATTGCCTACGCAGGCGATGTCTTGGAGGCCATCAAGGGCGATGGAGCTGTTATCATCGAAGGCGCAGCCAGCGTCCAGACAGTCGACAAGACCCTGTCCGAACTTGGCACCATCTCTGACAGCCGGGTCTATGGTCTCGCCGGCAAGAGTTCAACTTTCACCACCGAGATGCTGATGAATCCTTTGTACATCGAACTCACCAAACGCCTCCTTACTGATACCTGTGTCATCTACTACGAAAAGGAGAGAACGGTCTCCACTGCCGAGCCGCAGGTCTCGATGACTACAGCTCTGACTGCGCAACCCGGCTTTCCGGGATGGGGTCTCCGCCGCCAAGATGAGTGCCACCACACCAAGCATCCCGCAAAGCGCGAGACGGACTTTGGCATCGCGTTTGCCGCTACGGATATTACGAAGGAAAACGGAGCTATCAGAGTGGTTTTGGGGTCCAACAGATGGAACGACATTCGCGACCCTACGGACGATGACGAGACGCTCGTAGAGCTTCGCAAGGGTGATGCTCTTCTCTGGTGAGTCCACATACTCGTCGGTAGCAAGTTCACAAGATCATAAGCCCACTAACAATATTCGACAGCTTGGGGTCCGTTTACTATGGTGTGGCCTCGAACACTTCCTCAGCCCCGAGTGTTCTTCTTAGCGCCTTCTCCACTCCGGGCTGGTGCCGCCAGGAGGAGAACCAGTACTTAGCCATTCCACTTGAAGTTCTTGAGACGTTTCCAGAAAGCATCCAGAGATTCCTCGGTTGGTACGTCAGCAGGCCCTATGGAGGAGCGGTTGAGCACATGGAGCCCTTGGACTTCCTCAAGGCGAAGGGAGACTGGTCGAAGTACGTCCCCGTAGACCTAGTTTAGTCGCCTCTTGATCAACATGCGACTTCTTAAACTAAAGATCATTATCTCGATGACTCTCTTTCTTATTCTTGATGTTTTCATCATCTCCTAGAATTCCCATTGCAGCGATCACTGGTGATCATTCTTGGTAGACTCAAGTTATATTACAGATGCTGCGTTCGAACGATCCTCTCGACGGCTTTATGGAGAGTAAGAAATAAGATCTACATGAGCAAACGAATATATTGCGTGTCGCGGAGTCTTACCGTTCGATGTTTTAACTATCACGACGAATTCCACAATGAGGATGCTAATTACGTGTTGATGATTGGTTCGTCCGCGAGAAGTAGACAGGCACCGATCGAATGGGACGATAAGGCAGGAATACAGCAAATTCTGTCATTCTACCACCTCGGGACGCAGCACGCTCGTCTTGGGCACCGCCGGTGTGGCTACATGTATTGCTGGGATATCTGCCCCGCTTCCCCGCCTCATAGTCAACATCCAGTTCTTTTGTGTATCGGCAACTTTAACCCATTTGGGACGTCCCTTCAGTGTACCCAATAAAACATTGTGGTCCAAATGTAGCATTCCTGTGCCATAGGCTTCCACTACCTCATACAGATAGATAGACATGCCTCGTCTTAAGTCATTTTTGAATTATTTGAATTGGTCATCAGACTGACCATAATCAAAATGTCTGGTCCGCCACTCCTAGGTTGGAAAAAAGAATGAAGTAGAAAGCCCAGCAACAGTCCAAGACGGGAAGGGAAACATCCCACCTTCATATTTCGCCTTCTTGCCTCATTACCCCTTGGAAACATTACACCAAATGATTCCAGGCCTCTGTCAAGCTATGCAATCATCAACAATACTACCACGCGTCTCTCAGGATCAGAATACGAAGGATGCATCTCGCGATATCGAGGCCTCCGTTATCGACCGCGTGGCCACGGCAACATCACAGGTCCCTCCTGTAGAGAGAGGCACGTTAGAGATAGATACGGCACCGCAACCTAGCAATTCTTCACAAATTGTCATGACATGTCTGGTAATCCTCTGTAACTTGACACAAGTAAGGCTGTCCTCCGCCGTACTTGATAACTGCTAATAATTGTACAGTTTATCTCCATGTTCTCTACCGTTGCAGGCGGATTTCATTTCAGCGCTGAGCTCGGTCGAGAGTTTGGATCTGGGCAGGCTAATTGGATGGGGGCGGCATACTCGTTCGTCATGCCTCCTCAACGACTGAATAGTATGCATTGAGCTGACAGACTTGTGTTTAGACTGACCCAAAGCGCTTTCGTCCTAATAAGTGGCCGACTTGGGGCCATTTATGGCCACCAGAACATGCTATTTCTCGGCGGTGGAATCATCGTCGTCTTTTCCCTAGGAAACGCCTTTTGCAAGACTTACGAGTCATTTGTGGCTATGAGGGCCATGACCGGAATCGGCGGTGGTATCATCATGCCGAACGCGGTCGCAGTCCTCACGATCATGATTCCGCCGGGACAGAGCCGAAACGTCACGCTTGCCGCTTTTGCAGCTTCACCACCATGCGGCGCACTCGTTGGAGCTCTGTTAGCAGGTGTGTTTCTAGAGTACACCGAATGGAAGTGGTTTTTCATAGTGATGTAAGTTCTCTGACCCGTGGACAGGATCACTCTGACAAAGGACAGCGCTATCTTGGGAACTGTTATGTTTGGATCCCTGTTTCTTGTGCTTCCACATGACGAGCCTGTGGATGAAGGGGGCAGTATCGACTATTTGGGTATCGTACTCGGTCTTGGTGGCCTGCTGCTGTTCAACTTCGCTTGGAAGTAAGTTTGATAACTAAGCTCTCTCAAAAGCGCCATCTAACAACCACTCAGCCAGTCACCATCCATTGGATGGGATTCTCCGTCCGTCATCTCCACCCTCATCGTGTCCCTGCTCCTATTCACAGCTTTCATGGTTTGGGAAAGCAAGTTTGCCAAGGATCCCATCATGCCCCTGACAGTCTTCGCCGCCCCAACATTTACGGCCCTAATCTTCGTGGCATTGCTCACATACATGTCCGTTGGCATCAGCCTGTGGTACATGGTCGCCTGGCAACAACTCCTACGAAACTGGACGGTCCTTCATGTTGCCATAGGATGGATCCCCTACGCTGTAGGCGCCTCAATGTCAGTTGGACTGGCGGCGTGGTTGATCCCCCGCATCGAAGCGCAGAGTATCATGGCAATCGGAATCTTGGCTTCCATCGTGTCATGCTTGCTGCTGGCAACAATGCCGGAGCAGCAAATATACTGGGCACAGACCTTTCCCTCCATCTTCATCGGATCTCTCTGCCCTGATTTCGTTTATGTGGCTGCGCAGATCATAGCCAGTAACAGCGTTGGAAAGCGAGAGCAAGGCGTTGCTGGAAGCTTGATCGGTACGCTAAACCTTTATGGAAACAGTCTAGGCCTTGGCTTTGCTGGAACCATTGAGTCGCAACTTATCAAGAATGGCGCAAGTCACGTCACGAGCTTTCGCGCCGCCTTGTACTTTGCTATGGCCCTGTCTGCGGCGGCATTGTTATTGGACTTTGGCTTTGTGAGGATGCCCAAAGATGATCGGAAGGGGTGGGAACAGGACAACTCGCGGAGAGACGAAGACTTGCGAGACCCATGAAAGCCTTGACAATTAGGTTGACTCTCGTGAATCTTCAGCGCATTCAAGGGCAGGTGCTAGTGGGGAGTCATTCCATACTGTCAGGTAGTCATCCATGTGGGTCAATTGCGAGAAAGGAATGCCCCGCAGTCATGGGTTTGTATCTCAGGGCCTCAGCGGCTTTAGTTCTGAAGCGCCCTTCAAGGGCAGATTACTAGCTAGACCATATTCTAGAGTATGTACAGGCTTGGTCTTGGTATCATTTGGATAGTTCGGAGCCCACGTCTGGCTATTAAAAGTGTGGTAATCATGCATAAACATGCGAGTTTCTGATGTGCGTTAGTTGTATTCGACGAGTAGTAGGGCGGAGGTCGTGACTTACAACCCCACTTGACGCAGCAGTAGCTGGTGCCTCCAGTGTGCTGAGAGCAAGTGTAACCAGCAAGGCATCCCTGGAAGGCGCAAGTGAACTTGGAGCTGTAGCAAGCACCAATGTCCTTGACCTCGGCGCGTCCCTCCAACTGCTCAATCTCGGTGGGAGCAGCGGTCGCGGTGGCGGACAGGAGTCCGAGGGCGAGGACGACGAGCTGAGTCGGCTGGAAAAGCATGTTGACGTTGAAGTTGAAGGAGTGTCTAGAAGTTGGAAGTGTTTGAGTGTCTCAAGGTGATGATGGGTGAGTTCATTGTCAGTTGGCAGCGCTGCTGGTCCGTATTAATACTTTCAGATGAACCATCGTCTGCAATGCTGTTGTCTGTTGAGCTTTGCGTGGAGTCCGGGGAAGACGACTCTGGAGGATTGGGATCAACATCTGCTCCGCTGCAGATGTCTTGGCTCCTTTGGCTGATACGGGGCGCAAGTCATCTGTGGATCAGATTTGGCGATGTCTTCACTGAAGCGATAACTCGTATTGACAACAGCGACATAGCGAGTCATTGTAATTGAGCAAGTTGCAGAATGGTCGTCAGGTTTAGGCGGAGACTTCCAGATTTGCAGATCGCAGCCTAATCTGAAAGGCGTCAATAGGGCGCTGTTAAACAAACGTCACTACGAGCATGTAGGCCTAAAAGCCGCGTATAGAAGGTTCGAAAGTTGCTCGTCTAAAGTTGCACCAACAACGTAGTGGATTAGAATTCTCGTCTCGAGTTTAGTGGAATGCTTGTATCACGGGTCGGGAAACCTTAAATGGCTTGTCTGATCCATTTAAAGGCAATTAAGAAGAAAGTCTAAAACTGGTAGCGAAATCAATGTGGTCGGGCGAGTCAGCGTGGTTGAGCCAGGTTCCCCAGCACTCTCGACCGCAATATCGGGTTGTGGCGTGATGATCATTTGAGCCGCGGGACCGCGTCAAGTTTTCGGATTGGCAGCGGCCGAGCTCGGGGGATTAAGACTTTCTCCCCGGGCATGCTGACATCCACAATAAGTTCGGAAGATGAAGGCTCTCTTGATTATCAACAACTCCGACTCTGTCTGGTTGTCGCTCTGTGTGTTGTGCGAATGGAATCAAAACTCCCAAGCCGGCCAGTTGCTTGTGGGTTCCGCAAGTGGAGGAGTCCGCGGCCAGACCTCCTTTCCTCCAATGAACACGCGTTCAATATCCTCAACCCCAGACGAGAAAACAACGGCCGATACGGGATCCCCTAGATGACCCATGTGAGGAGGGTTAAGGAGAACGATGTCCGCCAGCTTGCCGACCTCAAGGCTTCTGACATTATCAATCACACCCAAAACATCCGCAGCACCCAGCGTGTGCATCTGAAAGACGTCTTGAGGAGTCAACACCGACGGGTCTTCATACTTGCCTCTTACGGAGTACAGGCCCACACGCATGTTCTCGAACGGGTCGCTCCGGTCGCTACTCGCTTCTCCGTCTACACCCATGCCGATCGGGAGATCGTGTCTTCGATATTTGGGAATGTCGGCAATCCCAGACCCGAGGCGCCCGTTCGACATTGGATTCCAGCTCATTTTGAGCCCCGCTGAGGCAGCCTCGTCAAGAATGTCGGGGGTTGGGTGGAGGAAATGGCCTAGGATAAGCTTCGAGTTGACCGCACCAGCATCTCTGAGCCACTCCCAGCGGGATTGTTCCAGATCAACATCGACCGGCCGGGGACTTTCCAAGTAGTGGATCTGCCCTCCTAGGCCCAATTTTCGCATGACTTCAGCTTCCATGCGTGTATTGATATCCGTGTCGTAGTTGATGCCGTGATGTGCAATCATGGTACCGTGATATTGATCAGAGTGGTTGAAGGTAGACGCCCAGTCTACAAATAGTTGAGCACGTCTCAATGCTAACTCTGGAGTCCATGTTTCCTTGATCGCTCCGATGTTGAACCCATGGAAGAACCGGATACCGGAGTCCAGAGCCCCTTCGAACTGGGCTCGGTCCGTTTGGCCCTCACGGAAATGGGCGGAGAACGTGAAGTTGAAAGCAGCCGTGATTCCCCTTCTGATGTGGTTTCTTGCGCCTTGTATTGTGAGGTCATAAAACTCGGATGCTGGCAACTCGCGGGCTTCGGAGTAGATACCGTCTCTCCACTCAGCCACCGTGCTATTGGGGGCTTGTCCGGCGAACTTGCTCTGCCATAGATGGCTATGCGCTGAGACGAAGCCTGGAAGCAACCATTTACCCTCCGCGTCAATGACGACTTAGGCATTTGCGACCTCGTCGCGGCTCTCAAGGCCGACATGGGCAATAGTGCCATCGCGGAACACTAGCACGTCGGCGGGATAGAGTCCTTGTTCTCGTCGCGGTGACAGCACCTTTCCGCCTGTGAAAGCCACTGCATAAAGTTTGGCTGCCATGTGTCGCTGCCAATACGGATCGTTCACTTGATTTGTAAGGTTATGGGTTTGCGGGGTGGTAAATTGGAGATGGTTGTTACGTGTTTAGATCATAGCGGTCGCGAAGTCCTTCCGCTATAGATTAAAGAAACCCGAATATGGCCGTGACCTTCAAGGCACCACGAAAACAGGTTGTGGAAGAAAAGATTGATTTGAAGTTTTGAGAGTATGAGTCAAGGTGCGATCCGACGCAGTGTGCCATTTAAGCATTTCCTGATTGGTTGTTCTGCCCGAACGCGTGGCGTAAGTTTGTCGATCAAGGATGTCTCCGGCTATTAGAGCACACCGACATCAATTAGAAAGAGCCAATTTTAACTACAACAAGAAGGGCAGCAGTTTCAATCATGGGTATCCAGACATGGATGTTTTATCTGCGCGAAAAGATTGAGATGTATTGAGCTTCATAAACAAGGTCAGTTTTCTTCCTCGAGTATTCTATGTAATCCCCATGCTATGCATTACCTACAATTGTACTTTTCCCTATTGCATTCATTGAAGCTTCACAGAGCATCTAGATTTGTTGGGCTCACGAGGTAGGTAGGTTTGATTCACAGAAGTAATTTGGTACAAACGTTATTTGCCGCAAATAGTCTTAACTAATTTCTCTCCCTTGTCTTCGCCGCAGCTTGACGAGAGCAAGCTCAGTGAAACCTGCAAACTCCTTACATAGGCTGTGGCAGTCTCAATGATGTCCAACTAGAGACTCACGATCGCGTCAAAGATCGCAGGGCAACTACCATGCATTGATTATCCATTGCAGGGGCGGATCAACTTGACTCTACCTCGGCTAGGAAAAACACCCTCCACCGCAGCCATGCATCCAGCCTGGTCTTGGCCGCCCTCTTACAACAAATCTAAACCCTACACCAACACCAACACCAACACAACATGGAGTCTGAAAACTTCGGGGCCCGTACTCTTGCGTACTCTAACCCCTGTCACAAAATAGCAAACAATCTTCCGCTGCTTAAACGTAAGCAAATTTCCGTGTATTTCTATAACTTCCCATGGCTGAGGGTATAGCTGAAGCTTTATTTCGACCCATAAGCCGTAACAATGAGTAAGCTCCTTAAACGCACGCCTGCAATCATTTCTTACACGTCCTTAAAACTACGCTCCTCATGAAAAGGACCTCCCTTTAACAGAGTATTCTTACACAACCAAATAATTCAACCCAAGCCAGACCCCAATGTCTCTTTAGCCGGGGACCTTCCGGTCCAAAGACCTGCATATCGTAGCAGTAAAGCTTCGTCGCAACCCTCTCGTGGCATTTCGAGCATGAATAGTGGGTATACTGGGTATCCCCGCATACGCAGAACAAGGAGAGGCAGCATACTCCTGCACCACACCTGGGATCGTCGGGTCAGTCGCGTCATAATCTGCGAGGTGTCCTCGGGTTGCTGCGCACACTTTCATAGTAGCATCTTCTATATCGACGTTTATCACGGCTATCTCCGTACAGAATGGACAGTCGATCCATCGAGGTTGATGGAGCATGTGCAACGGAGTGACGTCCAGCTCTATTGGAGCCGCTGTCATGTTTGGGTCGCCTTCCTCCTCTTGTCCCTCAGCTAATAGGGTTGTCGTTGAAGACCTATTATCCATTGGAGGCGCTGTCATGTTCGGATCGCCTTCCTCTTGTCCTTCATCTAGAAGGGTCGTCGTTGCAGACCTATCGCGACATGAGCTTTGAACACAGCTGCTCAAGCAGTACCGAGAAATGATTTACTGGGAGCTATTCAGGCTGGCGGCGGACACCGGGCTTGTGGGTCGTGTTGTGGCGACGATCGGGTCCCGAACGTGGACCGGCGGCGGTTGCTGGACGGCAGCGGCGGCGAGGGACTCCGACGTGAGTGGTTGCAGTTCCGACATTGTGTATATGCGTGCTGGGTAGTTTGAGATAAAGGCTTGCGAGCGCAATGGAGTGAGAGGCCAGGCTTTAAGCATTTGCTTGAAAATAAATCAGAAATAGCCAATCACTAGGAGCGTCTTGTTACACACAACCTGTAAGCCAGGATAACAGCTGACCGATCCACTCAGTCGTCGGGCGACAATGAGAGGGCATTAGTACTATTCTATTGAACTACAGGATCACGGGAACAAAAAGGACGCACTCGGAAACGGAAGAATTATGGTACAAGTCAGCAAGTACGCTGCATATTTAGCTGGAAAACCTCGC